TGTTGAGTGTTAAGTAAACCAGTCAATACAGTATGTACAGAGTAGCAGTATTTAACATTTACTCGCTGTCTTTTCATTGGTGAATGTAATGGCTTATTGAGAGGCAAATGAAGGATTGCTGTATTTAATGAATACCTAACACTAAACGTTTTGGCCTGCATGCTTCAGACGTTTTGTAAGTTGATTCATTTCATAAATATAAGGACGTATTTATTTGGTGCATTTACAGCTACAGTGAAAAGAATTCTAGGATTAAAAGCTGTACTGATGTACAAACCATAGATGTCAGTGCAAGTTGTCTACATGATTCAATGAGACTAAAGTTGTTACTTAAAGTCCAGTGTTGTGCATTAAAGAAAAGTAACTTTTCCTGTTAGCTGTAGAGACGATAATTTGATGTCTTTAAAATGACAGTGAACAGGCAGTATAATCCTCTGTGAGCCTGCATGCTGCAGGTGAGGTAAGCAGTTCAAGCTTCTAATTTGTCTTCAACCTGTGAAGGTGGAACCATTGCTGGTATTTTTTTTCAGAAGTCAGAAAAAGCCTTTCAACCTTCATGATGTAAAACAGCCAGGAGCATTTGTCTGTCATTCACAGGGAGAGTAAATCAATAGTTTATTCAATTATTCAGCCCTGTGTATTATTTATATAAGAACAGGTTTTGCTGGATGTTTTTCAAATGCTCCCTTGTTATGGAATTGATAGTGGGTGGGAGTTTCTATCTGGAGGCTGCACTAACCTCTGCAGAGTCGTACAGATATTCAAAAGAAATTGATTTTTTATTCCTTTCTTGCTCTTTTTTCCTTTGAAAAAAAAAAAAAAAAAAGAAGAGAAGAGAAAGCAATTAACTGTCTTCAGCGTTCAGTTTTGTGGACTGAGGATTTTAATTTGGTTTAAAATACAGTTAACCCTATCTGTACAAATTCAGAATATCAGTATTTCATCCTTGTTCACGCTGAGAACGTACCAGTCTGTGAAGTTTTATATAAATTGTTTACTTTTTTTAAGGGGTGCGTATATGTGGAATTTTTACTATTATGTCTTGATGTAGTTGGAACAACTGGCTGATATATTCTGTAAATTTACTATTAAATCAGTGAACATGTAGTGAACTGCCCAGCTATTGCTGGGGAAATTAGCATTTGCTCTTCAGACAATTTGATTGATCTTCAACTCTGTCTTCTTCCCTATAACCAAATAATCTGAATTAAAAATGTGAGCAGTCCAACGTAGTTTGCAGCGTATTCTTGTGTTGCATTTTTTGTTCGAAACAATGAACTACCAAGGAAAATTGGGCAAACCGTATGAGTTTATTGGAAACAATAAACTTCATTTGCAGGGGAAAGTACTTCACACTGATTCGTATTGAAGTCAGCCTATTTTTAGAGCAGATTTAGATGTCTATAATAGTCTACAGTGAATGTTTTAATATTGAATATTTTTCTCCTACAGATCAGAGATTTTTAGGTTTTGGGCTTATATTTCTTTTCATAATGTAAGTTAGAATGCACATGAAATAGTAAAACCATTCTTGGACCAGGAGAAATAGCTCCACATTAAAATGGCTGAGAAAAAAGCACCGACTAACCATAATCCAGAGCCAAAGCTGCTCATTACATGTGAAGCTTTAATAAATTGATCTGTTAGCAGGTACAAGTTTATCTTCCCCTGCGCTTGTTATCAAGGATTCCCACATGTAGATGTATTCATAAAGTATAAATTGGAATGGCTTTAGCATTAGCAAGAAATTCACTAAGTACAAGGAACGTGAGGCTCAGTAGTTTTCCCACATCAACAACCAAATTCAGATATATTCATAAATATAAAAGTATAAAAGGTAATAGCCTTCTTGTCTATTACTTCCTCAGAGCATAACAATACAAGAAAGGAAAGAAATCTAGGACCCATCCAGGGAGCAGAGCCCACATTCCAGTACATTAATACGTTAATATCAGTCATACACATTTTTGTTGTACTGAGGCCTTGAAGAAACTGCATCGCCTGATGGTGAATGGCTTGACACTCTCCTTTCTGACTCTAAGGAAATGTTTGGATGCAGTTAATCACACGTATGTTGTGGCTGGATAGGAGTGCAGCAGTCTTCTACTCCATGGTGCACTGTTGGCGGAGTGGGATTCTGCATTTTGGTGCTCGGCTTTGCCTTTGGTCAGCACTACAGCCTGCTTTCTTCCCCCAGTGCCTGGCTGTGTGGGCCCTGCCCATCTCTTACACCTGTCTACTGAGAGGGTCTTACCCCCGACAGCAGGGGAGAAGTCTGTTTCCAAAAATGGCCCTTGAATTATAGGATAATAACAACAGACTGTTAACCAAAAAAAAGAAAGAGAAAAAGAAAACAACAAACAAGCCAAAACAAAAACTGTGTAAGTATACAGATGCATTTGGGTACTGCTTGTATTGTGTTGGAAATGTGGGGCACTACTGTTACCAGTGGTGCTTGAACACTTGCAGTCAGTGTGACATGCACCAGCCCCGAGTGCACACCATGGGTGACCTTTTCATCATGGATTTGGATGCAGAGGCACCCTGCATGTCAAGGCTCTCCCCAAAACAAAGTGACCATGAGCACATAACAGCTCTGAGCACTGATTGTACAGGAATTAGTCATTTGTTTTCTGTTTCCAGGATTCTGCTTACAGGACTTGCAGAGCTGTGCTTATTAAGTGGACAGCTTAGATATTTTGCTGTTAGGACTTATCCCATTAGACATCCTTTCATCATCATCTCTGTATATCAGCTTTATCTGCAATATATGTTACGTTGGTTGTTCAAGTTGCTTTCCAGGCAATGAGATAATTAAAATAAATAACCTGACAAATGTCCCCCTCTCTCCCATTGCTTTAAAGAAGCCTATGGATTAGGCTTGTTTTTCCCTACACATAAACCACTCCAAAAGTAAAATCCTTCCTATAATTTTTAAAAGGTAGGTGTATTTTATATACACTTTTTGAGATTACTTAGCTTCCTGAAGACTGGATTATGGTGTTTTGATCTCCATTATCCTTTTTTAAATGTAAGCAGTTATCTTACCAAAAGATGCAAGAATGTGAATTCTTGCAGGTAGATAATATTTGTGGATTTTATAGGTAGAGGAAATGAGAGGAAGAAAAACAAGGTACAGATCTCTGCAGCTATAGCACTTTGAGTGCACTTGTCTTATTTCTGATGTTACGTTCTTCAAGAAGTTGCGTTTCTGCATCAGTTGTAGTAGGGATATTAGTATGCAATGTTAGTATGTGAATGTAAGAATATGGATGAGAACACTGTAATGTGGAATGTATGTATGGTTTTAACTTTACTTACAAAGTTACACGCAATGCATATATGTATGGCTTTAATTTTATGTTAATATTATATTTACATAATACCTATTTGCATGTCTTCAATGCCAGTAAAAGATGACTCATTTGAGTGTTGCTAGACTTGGGAAAGGCATCTGTTCTGACTCCAAGCCGGCAAGATGTCGATACCTGATAGCGTTACCTTACATGCTTTTCTTTTGAGATGCATTTTGGGTTTTTTTCCATGTAGGTACATATGTAGCTTAGGAATTGTGTTATAAATTTGTATGTCGAGTGAATCAGTCAAGCTAACATCCAGTGCCTTTTCCTGGAAGGATTGTGAGTTTACAAAAGGCAAATGACTCCCAGTGCTTTCAGAAGAAACTGCAGTATCTGAGATTCTCATCTTAGGTGAAAAATCTGATAACTCAAATTGTAGTGTTTGGATTTACTGTTGTGTTTACGTTGGTGAATCTTGTGGCTTTACTGTATAGTTCTTAAGTGACTTTTTGAAAGTAACTGTTGGATGGGTTAAAGTGGAAGTGTTTTGTGCGGCTCTTTGCACTTCCTAAGAGATCATAGCCTGGCTCCACCTTGCCTAGGAAAAATAATATATTAACCTTCTCTGTCTTAAGAAAATGTGACAGTAAATTGAAAGGAAGACTAAAAATAATAATTTTGCTTTTAATATATTTTTAATGAAGACATCACATTTCCCTCAGTAAAAAGAAAGCCTTATTTGCTTTTTATAATCCAAATGATGACCTCCCCTGGGAAAGTAATATGTTTCAAGTTTAGCACAGAATAGAATTGTGTTCAGCACCCTTTCAGAGTGTCTGGTTTTCTGCAGTACCAGTTTGGACTGGGATCCACTGAAGAGCTGGTTTTAAGTTTTTCCCTGTCTCTGCAAAATGACTTGTGTTATTCTTTAACCAAATAGCAATTTAAACACACTCCCTACCACCTTAATAAATTTAAATCTACTTTGCCCTGTAATGTTTTTAGGCAACAGAATCATACTGTAATTAATCACTTGAAAAGAGGTCCTGAGGTGTTTTGAGCTCCATATGGTAAATTCAGTCCATGACCAAAATAAACTGAAGATTTGCTTGTTCTTAGTTTCTTGAAATTATTGCTGAGTACCAGTCATATGGCCAAATAAGTGACATATCCACTACCTCCTAAAGTCAGATCTATGTTACGCAACAGGTTGCAGCAGTGCTATCACATCGGATGAAAGAGTGGCCGCTGTGCTGTAATGAGAGCTGCAAAACTCAGTGAAAGCCTTTCATTTCTTTGTTTAGTTTTTGATCTTCTTAGGAGAAACTGAAAGCAAGAACTTGACGCTACCATTTTTAATCAGATATTAAGAGAGAATTTTCAAGAGCAAGAGAGAATGCATTTCTGTAATTAGCTGATTTGAGGCAGTTCGGTAAGTACAGTAAAAGTGAGAGTGAAAGTTTGCATCCTTCCCCAGACACATTTACCTTATGTAGCAGGTCCACACACTAGAGTTCTGTTTTAGGATTGCTCCTTTTTGACTAATACTCATAGACTGGGTCCCTGAACTGATACTGAGTTCTGCAACACTGCCAAAAAATATCAAATGGTACAAATGGTGACAGAGAGGGTATTTACTTTTCAGTCTAACATTTCCCTTTCTTCTCTTTTTTTTTCTTTTACATGCTTTCTTGGGTACAGCAGACCATTTAGGAATTGAATTCATGGGTAAGTTTTGACTTCTCTTTCTTTCACTGTTTAACATTTATCTTGGTTAATCATCATCCCAAAACATATGGAGTTTAGTGGAAAGTCCCCCATGAGCTCCATCAGTGGATCTTGGATTAGGCGTTAATAGCAGGTCCTTTTATATTTACTGATTACGTTGGAAATTATGTCAAGATTTTATTTTACTCTTACTGCTAGAGGACTGTAAACTACATGATGATGTTTTTGTGTTTTACTGGTGTTTAATGAAACAGACCATAAAAATGATATGGCTGTGTCATGACATTTTTCATGAGATTTTTGGAAAAAATTTAATGCATGTGTTTGTGTAAAGGAGAGTAAATTTTTAAAGAGTGATTTTTTTTTATTTATTTTTTTTTCAGAATACTGTTGACGACAGTGTTCAAGTGTAACTAGGGTTAATGTTAAACATTCCATTAGAATTTAGCAGAAGAGATGCAGGGATAGTTTTAAGAAAGACAGCAAATAATTTAATTTCAGTTTAATAGAAAGCTCAAACAGGTTTGATTTTGATTTTGAATAACTGCTTTCTGAAAAGAAAAGGTGATTTTCTACTGACTCTGCAGTTGCAGTGTAGCACGTTCATAGCCTGAGGGACTGATAGGTTGAATAGGTCAGTGCTTCACCTTTCAATTGGTGATCTTTAGAGAGCATGAGTTATTTCCTCTAGGGAGCTGAGGTCTGTCCTTAGCAGGGCTAGTGATCTGGTTTATCAGCTGTGTAAAAAAACAGCTCGCATAAACAGTTGCATATGATTGAAAGCAAATAATACGCTGGGAATTCATATGGAAGTCAAAAAAAAAAAAAAAAAAAAAAAAACCCTTTGTGTCTTTTGTCTGTTTTGAATATTATTCTTTTTTTATTTAAAAAATAAAAATATTATCACCTAATGATTTTAAGTGATGACATGGGAATTGTTTTGACAAGTGAGGTATTGCTCATCGTTGTACCATTGCTGTGATGAGTATTAATGACATAGCAGGCTGCTTAGCAAGAGGACAGGTAGCAGGTGGAACATGTTTTCCTACTGCTTTTGGACTTGTGTGGCATATCTAGAGGCCTGCCTACAAATCTGGGCTCCCTAGGTAAGGAGAGAGGTTTACAATCTGAACTCAGTGCAGTGAAGGCTCACCAAGATGGTCGGGGGCTGGAGCTCATGGCATGCAGGGAAGTGCTGAGTGCACTCAGTTTCTCAGAGGAAAGCAAGGGGAGATCTCCCTTCCACTTCAAACTCCATGATGGCTGCATACAGAGAAAACAGGATTGGACTATGTGGAGGTGCAGAGAGAAAATGTAAGAGACAGTGGACACAAAATTCTCATTACTTATTGTAAGTACTTTTTGAAAACGAGAGTGGTTGTCAGCCATTGGAACAGATTCACTATAGATACTAGGGAGCTTCCATTGCTGGGGATTTTTAATATTTAGCTGAAGGGGACCTTGAGCATCCTGATGCCACTGCATAGTGGGCTCTGCTGTGAGCACCCAGATGGACAGGGTGACTCCAGTGCTCCCTTTCAGCCTGGGTCATTTTGTGTGTTCTACAAGTTTGGTGTTTCATTTGGGTTTATTTGAAACTGAAAGTACTGGTGGAAATTAACGCAAGTGTTTTCATACACTTAGTTGACAAGAAAATGTTTTTCATTAAAGATTCTGCATGTATTCCAATTTTGCTGAGTCTGCAAGCAGCAATTGTGAGGAGTATGAATCAAACATACTTATCAAATCATATGTACATCAAACATACATATCAAATCATATAAGTATATGTATAAAGAGGTTAAGAGACATTTATAGGAGCTTCTTCGTAAGAAGGAAAGTGCTCTGCAGGAGGCAAAGGCAAAGCATTTTATCTTCATTTTGAGCTTCTTAGTTTTGTTTTTTTTTTTCCTTAAGACATCTTTTTTAAGACTTGAAATAGAGCCAACCCCTGAAGCCTTGGCTCTGAGTTGTCTTCTCGTATGAGTAGCTTTTTGATTGTCTTATTTAATATTGGAACAGATCCTAATTGTATAGAAATTAATGAAGTTGTATGTCTCTAGAATGGAAATATTATGACAGAAATCTAAGATGTAACAGAAGTCTAAGGTGTTATTCTGTGGGCTAGGAGAAAGCAAGACCGAGATTCATACATGAAAGTGAAATGCTTGAGCTTCTTAAAGGCTTCAATTATTAATTTTTTTTTTTTTTTTTTTAGGAACTACTTAGCAAGTGTAAACAAATATAAAATCATTATTCCACATGTAGAAAATTACATATTTCTGTATATGGAGACATCTGGTGACAATATACTGATCCTATTAGCGTCATTTGTGCTGAGCCTTTCCCATTAGTTTGCTTCTGTACTGTATAAAATAATCTCAGTAACAGGGATAAGTATTTTCCAGTTACGATAAATAAGGTATGGGTGATGCAGAGGTTAGCATTGATTGTATGGGATCCCAGAGCATGCTTTCTAGTGTTTTGCTTGCATTTGTGAGTTCAGTTGCTTTAGGATTTGCATTTCCATCATCATCAACTGGAAATTTTGCCTTAGAAGTTGATCTATTCTTTGAGGAAAATAGCATTATTCTTGAGTAGCGTAACATTTTCACTCTTGAAGCAGAGTTTCTGAGTTTTACCTTCTTCTTACAAGTTGGTAATGAAGTAAGGGAAGATACCACTGCACTTTGTTTTGAAATCATCATGTAATTAGGTGAAGAGTATATGAAAAGTTAGTTTCAATCCCTGCCCTGGGTTGAGAACTGTTTTAGTTGCTTTTTCATAATCTGTTTTACAAGAGTGAAAGCTACGTAGGCCTGGCTTCCCAGGGAAGGCTGGGCTCCTTCCCCAGTCAAGTTAGAAGCTCCTGAAGATATGAACAACCGTTTGTGGTGCTGCCCTGTGGTGTACAGATAAATGATCCATCTGGCTTAGCTGGCATTCTCTAAGGAAAGAAGATGAGCAAAGCCATTTTTTATTTGCCATAAACAGAAGAACCCAGAGTTGCTGGAGGATACGTACCTGCCCAATCCTTTTATTGTCCTGTTAGACATCTGCTGACCATGAGCTTGTGTGTCCTTTTGGGCCTGTGGTATGCCTTCTCCCTCAAGCTCTGATGGCAATCAGTTGCAGAGGTCAGCATGCACTGTTTTAATATCTCCTGAAACCCACCTCTTGCCAGAGTCTGTGGTCATCCTTACAAGTTCTAACAGGCTGTGTGTGCAGGAGTTATGTGTTCAGTTTATTTGCCACACTGGCTGCTTTGTTATTCTCCATCACCTCCTCACCTTCCCATGACCTCTTTTGGATGTTATCTAGTTTATGTTCTGTATGCTCTGTGCATTCCCAGACATGAATGCCTAGTACTTTAGTATCCTTGCTGGTCTTGGTTTGCAGTGTCTGTTTCTTCATATGGATAGCAGAGATAGATGCAAACGTATTACCGTGGCATGTATGTTTTAAAACATTGCAGGTATAACAACAAATATACACTTCTTACATATGCATGTGCAACTGCTGTTAAATTAAATGAAAGTTATGTGTTCAAGGGACATTATGTCCTAAAAAATGTACATTTAGGAATTGTTGTCAGGATGGCCAAGCTTTTTGCAGTTTCTAAGAATATGGAGACGATCTATTTGCTTGGTACCTCAAATGAGACCAGTCATTTTTGTCAGCATTTCTGCGTTTGCATTGCTCAGCTTTCTGGGGGATCTCTTTTGGTAGTGTGCAGCACAGAGACTGTTTTTTCCCTTGGAAAAGGCTACAAAGTTCCCTTCCTCCTGGCCTGTGCTTCTCAGCTGCATGGGTGCACATTTCCATAGGGCTCCCAGGGCATCTCACCAGTCGTGACGCAGGCAGTGTCACGTATATTTCCAACATGTAGGTAAGTAAACATTATCATGATATTCTTATAAATGAACTGAAAATCTGTTTGTACTGTTTTGTCAATTGAAAGCAGCCTGGCTGTTGGTAGTGCAGCGAGTTTGCAACAAATGAGGAAGGCTGAAAGAAGAAGCTTTTAATGAATGGTAAAACAGTCTGATTTGTTCTAGATATTATGAGTGACTGCAGATTGGTATCTGTTTTCTTGATCTTCAGAGCTGAATGTTAGCATTGTTATTTTCTTGTCATTTTGTGTGATGGAAATATTGATGGTGAAGCCATGTGTCTGTGGGAGCCAATAAAGATGGTAGGGTTCCTTCACTGTGAGGCTGGCTTGGGGAGACAGACCTTGTACATGTGTGTTCCAACTGCAGAGTAAAATCACTGCTCTAACTCCCAGGTAAAAGAGATGCAGAAGTCAGGGGGTGACCTTAAGAAATAAGTATTGTGGGCTCAATCAGTTAGCACCCAAGATAAGAAGTCATCAGTTCGACTTGTTTCTTACAGCAGGAATGAGTGTGGAGTAAGGATGTCATGTGCCGAGGGATGAAGTGCGAAAGTGAGTTTTAAAATAACCTGCTGTGACATGAACAAACATGACCACTGTAGCTGAAACAATATCTGTTGTATCTGAAACTACTGCAGCAGTTCATCTTATCTTCCAGAAGCTTTATCTTTTGTTTTGTAACAGTAACGTGCAATAGATACAGATTAAAAAAAAATAATACAAAACAGTCTGAGGCAAGTACAACAGGTAGGCTGCTACAGTATTGATGAAAATACAGTCACGACATTAAATTAAGCAGAGCAATAAAGTAACCCAGGAACTGGAACATCATTAGAATTATTCTTTATACATCTCCTTGCAATGACTACAGTATGAAAGGTGTTTGGTTTTTTGTGTTCTTAATGTCAGAGAAGAAAGTGCCTGCTTTGTTTCCACTCTGCTGATTCTTACCCTGTCTTCTTTGTGTTGAGATGCTTGTATGCCTCAAACTGTGGGAACACATGATAAGCAGACTCTGGGAGCTTTGGTCATGCGTTTTGATTTTTGCTAACCACAAAAGATGCTCTGCTGATTGTTGGCAATATGAGCAAGACTGAAAAATAGG